TGAGGAGATAGCCAATGTGTTATCGCCAACGTGTTATCGCCAATTGCTTTGCTCGCCAACAAGCTTTATGCAATAGAAGAAAAAAGCAAGGAGGTACATGTAGCCAACTTGTACTGTCACGGACCTTCTCTTTGTTTACTGTCTAGCACAACGCCGTTGTCAACGGTGCAAACTCGTGTTCAGTGCAACGATAACTCTACCAGATCTTACGAGAATCAATCTGTAGTATTCTGTACACAGAACTGTATCAAAGCTTATCAAACCTGCTTTAATTTAAACACTGCTTATAAACTGTGAAACTATTGAAATCTAAAGTGACATTAATGTATTCAACACATGCGAAAAGCTGAAAATAGACGTGACACTGGGAAAAGTCAAAGGTCAATGAGACTTGTTATTGTGAAACATGTCACAATTAGGTTAAAATGCGGAAGCGGATGGAGCGGATCCACGGAACGAATATGCGGACAAAATACGGAACGGATGAGGATAAAATGCGTCCTTTTAATGATGTAACGACGTAGTGCTTATTATTCATAACATATCTTATACAGCTATTTCAATTATAGTTTTAGATAAATTTAGCATAGCAGTAGCCTCGTGGGGATGCTTTTAGCGACAGCGCAAATGCAAATGAAAATTTAGAATATGCAAAATTTGGTTGTTGGTGAAACAATTTAAATTTCGAATTGTCGCGTGTAGCATCACAATAAATAGATAAATTGCATCAGTTTCACAAGGCACGTTTCTGATGTGTTAGGCTTGTTTCAAACGTCACGCTACTCGTGTGCCGAGCGTATTAAAAGCAATAAATAATGAGATGAAATGCCTTTGGTAACTGTTTATTTCGTAGTGTAAGCCATCAGCTTTTCTAGGTTGTCGGCGACCCTATATAGTTCTTGCAGTGTCTTTTTCAATTTGAAACTTCACACTATCCTTGGATCCCTAGTTAAATTTTCCTAACTTCCTGTTATAATTTTCTGACTTCTTGTTCTGTTCTGAGCGTTGTCAATGGTAGATTATTTTTGTCAGCCAATTACAAAGCACAGAACATAACAGGAAGTTAAGAACTTCTAATAGGAACTGAGCAAAATCGCCTTTTTGCAACATTGCAAGTTCCCAGAAGGAATTTGTAATTTAGGGAGTTTTTTCAAATTGCAAAGATAACTGGAAAAATTGCAACCAATTTAGAAACTCAAAAGAGAAATGCTTGACATAGTTTACCAGTAACTGTTCACCTGTGATTTAATTGAACCCAACCCAAATTTCCCTTGTTTTTTCTTGCAGCTTTAACCACAATGCTTTGCATAAAAATCAACCACTATACTGCATTCACATCCACTATTAACCGATTCTAAAACTACACATCTTTGACAATATATATTGGGACAATTTAGTTTTCACATTTATTTGACTGTAATACGGTATACAACTTTTTTATACATTTTCCCACCCTTCGTCCGGCCACCCATTTCAATGTTGGCGGCAACCAGACATCAAATTTTTGTCAGCCCAACATTGAACTGGGAGAACGGGGACACTACACCTTTCAAATTATTTGAAATTACAGCACCTGTCCAATATAGGTTTTGTCAATATTGCAGCTACCACAATTTTGCATTATTTTATATTTTAGGCATTACCAAGATAGACTGTTATTTAAGGCAAAGTGTAAGATTTCTTGAAAACAAACCATGCAAGTGAAATTATAGCTATTTGCAATATGCAAAAAGCACCAAAACAAGGCTAGTCTGGCTTAATGTTTGCTAATTGTAGCATAAAAATGTAGCATAAAATTGGGTATATTTAACATTTAGTTAATCAAAGAAATACATGGTATTATATTTATATTGTAAAACTGTTATAGTCTTGACATATTCTATAAAATGGCAATGATTACCTTGACAATGAAATTACAGTTAAAACACTAAAACCTGCACACTTCCGCTTTTGCAGTATGTTAACAGTTACCATATTTTGTTCTGTATTACTGTAGCGGTTACCAAATTATTGGAAAATACAGCAATAAAAGTTAAATTTTGCTACTTTTGTGTGGCATTGCAATTTATCATATAAAATCAAAGAAAAATAAATTTTGCTGCCACATTTCTTCGTAATTGGGTAAATGCTACAGTAATACAGAACAACAAAGTACAAAAGTGGAAGTGTGCAGGGTTTAGTGTTTTGACTGCAATTTCGGAAGAGGAAAGAATGACAGCTATTTTTCGAATCGGTCTATAGTTAACAATTAGAATACAAGCTCAAAGTTTCTATGAGGTGATAGTTGACGAGGCCATAGCCCGAACCAACTGTTACCTCATACAAATTGAGAGCGTGTAATCTAATTGTTTTAGGGAGAATCAGAGATCAAACATTAAATATTCCACAAAAAATTTATTTTTAAGCCATTTTTCTAAAAAATGTGCCACGAAAATGATTGTTTTTGCTACTTGCCTTCTATCAAGGGATAGATAGCGAGTAGAGTAGCCAATCAAATGACAGCATTTGCAATAGTATACCAGTATGACTCTACTAATGAGATTTAACGCTAAGCATGCATCACATGATACATGTGTGGGGACTATTATGTAGCAACTGTGGTGGCTGCATGATTTTAGCAAAGGTTCTTTTATTTATAAAGTATAAGATAAATGTAATGCATTACAATTAACCTATAAGTTGCATTGTGCCCCAATGTACGTGCCCAACTATATATGTTACTCACTTTGTTTAATACCAGATAATTGCCAAGGTGCTCATTGGGTTTAGATAGTGATTAGTTCACAGTATGACTATGTTAGAAAAGGATTTGGTTTGAGGTACTTAGCCGTAGGTGCTTAAGGTTTTGGTTGGGAGGGGTTAGGTTTTGGGAAAGAGTTTAGGGTGGGGATATCTTTGGATAAATTTAATATCTTTTTTCAATTTTTGATCAAACGAATCAAGTTTGAAGATAATTTTGAAAATACGAAAAAACCCTATTCTTCACAAAATGTATAAAAGAACGAATTTAATATGTCAAACACCCCCTTACTAGCAAAGGAACTGATATCTGAAATATGTTTGAGACTATATTAATTTCAAATCTATCAAATCCTTCACAATCTTTAAAAACAATCTAAATCTCAATTGCAACTGATGACAATTCATAACAAATGTCAAATATTATTTTTAATAACTCTCATCTTTGTTCTATAACTAGAGGTTTAAAAAAAAAACTTTCAGGGTTCTTGACGTAGACCTCTGGGACTACGGATTCGGAATCCGCATAATTTTGCAACTTTGGAAACTTTTTGACTTGTTTTCAAGTCTGTGAATCCTGTGTTATTTGTATTTAAAAGGTTTCGATCATCAATAACATAATAATTATCTAGTCTGTAAAGTGTAAATATGTAAATATTTCAACATATTTTAAATAAACAGCGTCTAAATGTAATTCTTCAAACTCACCTCGATCGCTTCATTTTTTTATTTTAATTAAACACGATTTTCTAAAATTCAAACGTTAATAAACGTTAGAGTGTTCTCAACATTACTTTCGTTAAATTGCAAGACGAGCATCTGCCCGTATTGATAGCAAAAAGCTAAAGGAAACGACAAAAACTCACCCCACGAAACGATGCAGTTGTACATGCGGCCGACATTGATTCTCTCAAGTGATCATGTGTTGTTTGGTTGTTCGTACTTTATGTAATAGTCCATATTATGTACTAATCGTAAAATGCACAGGTGACTGGTCAAAACTTATTTTGTATTTTAATAGCTCAAATCAATATTATATAATATATATGAAACGTACATGAACTCAACACGTTAAAATAATTTTGACATAATTTACACATCTAAATTGAAGGAAAAACAGGTGGGCCAAGGGTAGGGCCATACACTGGGCCATGGCCTAGGGCCATGTTTTACCTACACCCATGTAGCATTGACCGTGACGATTTATTCACTGTGCATGTAGGAATAGAAGAGGCTTATCCACTGTGCATCAAAATTCAGGATCTTCTTCGAAGAGGAAAAATATCAAAGGATAAAATATTCTACAAATATATGAGTGACGTGGTGGAAATCATGTACAATCTGTTTCATGAATACGATCAAGAAGTGGAGTTCTTAAACACTATTACTTATCTTGGTGGAAAACGTACTGCATGTTTTATTAGAGGTCCGATGAACATGGGCGATGGTCGAAACAGTTACATGCAGCTGATGGACAAAAAGATGAACCTTGGAGGACCAAGTATTAAGTATTAGTGCAGCCTAATTCAAGGCTTCATATTTGACATTAGATTTGTTAGGTATTTTTTGGTAAATCTTCATATTTTTGTCACAGAAGGGGAATTTCCTATTCTATTACTATGTTTTTGTGTTTTCATTATTATAAATAAAAGTATTATCGTAGTAATTTGTATATCTGTAGACATAATCAAAAGACAGGGCAAAGATAAATAATACATCCCATTGTCATTGATGAACGTATTTATATATAATAACCGCTAAAAAAACAAACTTCGCCAGGTTGGAAAACTTGCACTCACTAGCAGCTACACAACAATTTAAAGCTACATCTCGCACCTTAAATTTGCTTTGCTCGCACTTACCACCCGATGTGCCTGACGCTAGCATGCCACATTGCAGCAGAAATCCAACCAGAAAATTGAATTTATATAGTTGGAAAACACAACTTCTTTACTAATTTGAATTCTACCATATATAGTATATACTCCGTCTTTTACATTATGACACCAAAACATGCATATATAATATAGTATAAAATTAGCGGATAAAAATAATACCTTATGCATATGGTTAATCATATATACAAAAGAGCTGAACCTAAAGAAGATAAGGATATTTTGGTGGCGTGACTGGTTATTTCTTATCAAATAGTTCCCGATTGACCTTGGGTCACAAAGCATAGGTGAATTGTGGCTTTCCAAATATTTCTGAGCAATACCTTCAACCAGATTGTCTGTATTGTTACCAATCTAGTTTTGTTCTTAGCTCCAAGATCTTATTAGACTGATGGCATCGCTGTCGCTGCGTATCCATAATAGCATAAAACTTTCAGCTATTGCTTCACTGCCGCCCGACGCCATTGCGATGTCTAGGGACAACATGAACTCTGGTCCAAGTTTAGTATAGATGCTTTCCACTGTGTATAGCATTTCAATGAGCTTTGATTCATCTAATACAGCTTTAATTTTCTTTCCATTAAGAAGAGTCAAGACGAAAGTTTGGCGTATTCCAGGTGATTTATCTCTTTCCAGTGAAACAAAGTATTCTGAGAGATATTTTCCAGACGATTGCATGCATGCTACACCATACTCATTAAGATTACCCCAAAACATCTCGCAAAGGCATTCTTTAAAACAATGATACAAGGCATCTGAACAGCTCACATCAAGGTAATGATGCAATTCATCTTTCTTTTTTTGTACATGTGGAAGTGAGATTATATATCTAAACCATACTTCGAAATCCTTTCTTCCCATCGCAAGATAGCTGCTTTTGTCTTTAATACAGGATATTGCATTCTGGTTTTCAGAGTCAGGGCGCCTCATTCCTTCAAGACCAAGCAGCAGCTTCTCAAAGTCAAAGCATTTAGCTAGCAGTCTTGACACTTCTGCTGTGCCATTGTCTAATCTGTTTTGTGATGAAGCTTTTAAATTCATAGCAAACTTTTTCAATTCCTTCATTGACTGGTCTAATGATCTTTCAATCCAGGTATACATTGCTTCTTCACCATAATCCGGATGCAACATCCTATCATTGCTCAGCAAATGCTATCCCTCGAAAAGCTGAACTTCTTGAAACAAATAGTTCTTAAGGTCTTGTAGATGTTTCTTGTACCGTGGTGATTATCTACCCATTGCCCCCATCCAGGAAACCATTCGTTGACCCCAGAATACAACTTTCCAATGAAGAAAGTCCACACTTTGCGACAACACCATTAACTCGCATAACGGTGTTGTGATGTCTAACAAGCCAAGCAGATCCACAACAAAATCTTGTCTGAACTGTAATGGGAAATCTTCATCTGCATTAGAATGAGTAGCTTGAAATGATTTTCTTAGGATTGGGAATGCTTTTTCAATTGATTTCCATTGGCCAACTGCAGAGCTTAAGAAACGTTGAGCAGCAAACGGGACAATAACAGATGCTCATTTATCGCTTCCCTTAAATTTAATCTATGCTAATCTACTCGGTCAGTTCCTTGTCATGATGAGCTCTGTTTCTGTGCGTAGGCTTATAACATAATTATTAATATAACAAATTATTAAGGAAACTAATGTTCATAAAAGTAATTATTAAGAAAATTGTTCGCACAGAAAAGGTGGGGGTAATTCAAACGCCCACCACTAAGAACTAGTATACATATCAAAAGGAATTGCACCAGAAAATGGGGAGGAGGAGGGTGGGTAAACTTGATTTCCGATGGAGATGTTTTGCAGCCAACGTGCAGAGCAGAATGAACCGATCCCGCATTCTAGTTCAACTAAATACTGCGAACTCCTATCCGTTTTCCCGCGCATTACAATCATGTGATTACAAAATTCCCGGGAAAATACCAATTGGAATAATTATGGCCATGTGCGTTATAAGCACATGCCGGTTTATTAATTTTTTGTAATGAATAACATAATTATTAATATAACAAATTATTAAGGAAACTAATGTTCATAAAAGTAATTATTAAGAAAATTGTTCGCACAGAAAAGGTGGGGGTAATTCAAACGCCAAAAGTCTGCTTTGAAAAAGGAGACATACCCCATCCCATCATGACAAGGACACGCAGAAGAAATGAGGACCTACCTCTAATACATTACATAACAAGAGAAAAATTAAAAATTGAGAACAACCTATATGAAACGATATAGTACTACGCAAGCTGCCCCACCAAGTCGTGCCCCTGCATTGACTTGGAAGCGAGCTGTTGATCTCGAGGTTGATCTAATAAATATTTGCCTGTGAAACGATATAGTACGACGCAAGCTGCCCCACCAAGTCGTGCCCCCCTGCGTTGACTTGATAGCGAGCTGCTGATCTAATAAGACGATTATATGTAGTGTTCTGCAAGCCTTGCCCCTGCATCAGCGTCAGTCAGCTACAAATCAGTATTTAGGTAGTAACAACATACAGTACGAATGTAAAGGTGTCAAGTCTTGCCCCTGCGTCGACTCAACAAAAGAGAAATATATATGTATAAGGTTAGTGTAACATGGAAATGTCTCAAAATGCTATTCTACAGCCATGATCAACCCCTGGACCTACATAGTTTAGACGTTCCAACTCAGACTAGGACAACGAATATATTTTCGATATGCGTCTGATTGCCAACGACCCATTAATCGTATTTGTGCATCGGAATAACCATTTTCGGCCGCAAAAGTAGCTGCACCGATGCGGAAACTATGTCCTTTATACCTAGTGGAATCGAGACCACACAAACGAAATGTAAGAGCTAAATGGTCGGTAAACAGCTTGCGTGAAACAGCGCCCATCGCGTGTTCGAAAAAGCGGTCCAGCGGTTAAACCACGCCAGGCGAAATAGTCTAGTAAGCTCTGCACTGGGCATATGTCCTTGTGGCGATTTAGTGTGAGTGAGACATTCGACCGATTATACGAATGCTTGAAATTAGCAAACGTTAGTTTCAACCCAGTTATGCTGCCCGAATTGTCAACAAGCTTAACAACTTGATCAATTTGAAACATGGTCGTTGACCGGGGGCAACATGTAATTTCACCAATCCGTAAAAAGGCAAAAAATGCTGTTGTACACATTGCCTTGAATAAATATGCTCGATACTCACTAGAGCACAAGGTTGGTGATTGTTGTAACATATTACGAAGGATAGGAAGTGTTATAGGTAAGCGTGTGTCGTGGTGTGAACCAAGCTTTCCATATCCTTTCAACATTTCAAGTACCCAAAAGACTTTAGTGGGGTCGTTCACCCCAGCCAGACGATGACAATAACCCAGTGCAGAGACATAAGTGTTTGCAGTGGAGGTCGCATATTTGTGCTGAAACATGTACGCTATAAATAGTCCTAAATCTGATGGTGAGATAGGCATCCGGACTAAAGCCGATTGAAATACCGCACAAGCAAATTGACTATAAAGTTTCCAGGCCCTACGATAAGTAGGGATTGATGATGGCTGCAAACTAGATTTAATTAACTTAGAAGTTATATTGGCCAACTCTGTGGCAGAAGATGATCTGGTATGACTGTTGGTGATGAGTGTGCACCCACCGGGGCTAGCTGCTTGAACTTCGTAACCTGTAACCGGGATAAAGAATCAGCTAAGACATTTTTGACACCAGGAACATGACAAGCTTGAAATAAAATATTAAAATTCAAGCATGCCAGCACCAGCTGCCGCACAAATATCATCACAGTCGAATCACGAGATGTAGCTTTATTGATAATATCAACCAATGCCGCATTATCCGTAAAAAAGGTAATGCGCTGATTACTCGTTCTGTCTCCCCATAGGAGGACACTTAGTACAATTGGGTAAAATTCTAAAATAGTAATGTTGAGTTGTTTCCAATTTTTAGGCCATGCACCGAAACACCACTCATTACCAAAAACCGCGCCGTAGCCTAGGCTGGCAGCGGCATCGGTATATAAATTTAAAGTAAGCGAATCCTGCCAGACATCGTTAAGAAAAAACGATCAACCATTAAAGCGAAGCATAAATGTCTGCCAAAGGCTTAGGTCCGCTTTGACCGATTTTGTAAGGGGAATATAATAATGGGCAGCAGTTATACCCTTAGTTAAATCAATAAGACGACGCAAGAAAGCCCGACCCGGTACAACTACTGAGCATGCAAAATTAAGCAGGCCAGTCAAAGATTTGATTTCACGCAAAGTGACTTTTTTGCGTCGAAGACATGACGATATTAATAATCTACATTTTTCAGTTTTGTCAACAGGTAGACGAGCTTCCATACGCAAAGTGTCTAATTCAATTCCGGCAGACGAAAGAATGTTTTGTGGCCCCACAGTTTTTTCCGGAGCCATTGGTATGCCCAAATATTTACATAAAGATAGGAAATGAACTAGGTTGATAGGTAGAGGCCGCCATTAGATAATCATCGAGAATGTGGATAAGATGTGGGATCATTAAATGTTTCTTAGCTACCCACTCTAGAGCTGTGCTGAACATTTCAAAAGTGCGACAGGATGACGCACAACCCATTGACATTGCGCGATCGTAATAAAATTTTCCTTGCCAAAAAATACCCAGAAGGTCGTAATCAGAAGGCCTTATTGGGATAATGCGAAATGCGCTTTTAATATCTGTTTTTGCCAGGAAACTTCCGCACCCTAATTGCTTGATCATTGTGACTGCGTCATCTACGCGAGCGTAAGATACCGAGGTATGCTCAGTAGCAATACCATATCGTTAACCGAATCACCACTAGGAAAAGACAAATGATGAATCAATGGCGAATCAAGCTCCCCCGGAGCTTTCTTAGGAACAACTCCCAAGGGAGAAACACGAAAGTTAACAAAAGGAGGGTGGTCGAAAGGCCCAGCAAGCCGGTTGGCCTGGCACTCTTTGAAAAGTTTAGCACTAACAATTTCAGGATTTTGTTGTGCAGAAACTAAATTATTGGCGAAAAATGAGGGTCGAGCTCCTTTCAAATGGAGTGGAAAACCATACTTAAAACCATAATGTAGCATAGACGTTAATCCCACATCGTATCCACATAATAAAGGTCTAAGTTTTTCAATGTGAACTGGCGTTGGCAGCGCGGGATTTGGCGGCGGATGAGGTGGAGTTAAAGGCAGCCCTTGAGGGACGAAAATTACACCTGTCAGCTGGGTGAACTACGCCACATTTAAAATATTTGTGCTGAAAATTGCAACCTTGGCATTCAGTACCCTGGTGAAACTTCCGACAAAACCCCCTGGGAACAAAGGGTCCAGCAACAGCATTCGTAAAATTATTGCATGTAGGTTGGCTCTTAGATTGAAAACGCGAATTACTAAAATTCTGCGCACGGATCCAAAGTTCCCAATGAATTGAACCCCAAGGCATTTCAGACGGACTGGTTTGTCGTAAATTGCGTGTCGTAAAATCGCCAGTCACCCCCGCGCGCGGCCAAATCCCGAACAACTTCCCCATACTTCATTAATGCAGGGGCCTCCATGGGATATTTCCCAGTATAGACCCCCACAAAAATTTGAAACGCTGATGTCCACGTCTCAATATTGGCAATGTGTTTTGCTTTTTGGGTTGGTTCCAAGAACAACGTTGGTAAAGAGGAACCGTTTTGAGAACTCACCGACAGTTGATATCGGGTATCACCTGCCCCTGAGTTTAGTAACAAGCCAAAATCGAAAAATTCATTGGCCCAAATCTTGGCCTTTAACTTGGCACTAACTTGTGCATCAATAGCAATGCTAACTGAATTAGAGTTAGACATACGTGACGAAGTAGGTTGTGAGACATGGATGAAATTCTCACCTGAAACATGCTGTAAAGCAGATGCTACATGCCCCTGCGTAGGTAGCATCTGCTGAAAGCGAAACAATACCTGACGCCACCACTGGCAATTCCCGAGTCTCCGAGGCCGACGTTGACTGCGAAGTCGCACCTGTCGCATTTAAAGACGCGAGAACAGCCTGTGATACCGCCGAGACAATCTGTTGAACGGTAGCTTCGGACAGAGATGCTCCTGTAGTTGGCGTTGAACTTGTTGTAACAATGGCGGCGGAAGTGTGATCGATGTTACCTTCATCTGCCGTTGTTGGTAGAGATGTGGCCGTTGTTGGTAGAGATGTGGCTGTTGTTGTTGATGCACAGTGTCGAGATGATGCAGGACGTGGTGCAATAGGCTGAGCGCGTCGTTGAACTCGAGTACTTGGCCGTGTTGCAGGCATATTTCTGAAAGAAAAGACTAAAAGAACGAAAACATGCAAAATTAAATTATCGTAAAACTGTGCATGATGCCAACATTGGAAACGTTAGAAGTATTGACATATATGTAAACGTTACAACAAAATGAAGTGGGCAGACAACACACAACGCAGCGGAATAATCCTGGCATACATCTGAGGTAGCCGCACATTGAATATTCCATTTATACAATGCTGCAAAATATATAAATATTCGGGCAATCTGAAAACAACAAGCTGCACCGTCCCACAATATATTGATTTCAACTGTGGACATCTGAAAACGATAATCGCTCTATCCCACGTAGACATGCATTTTTCCTAACACAGGAACAGCAGTAGCAAATTATATATACGGCCACAGTGACACAATAAGGTTAGACTCCGACGAGAACAACCGTGACAGACGTATACAAACAACCGTGACAGACGTCCTGTGAAGAAAAAACCCAATGTTGAAATCTCAACGTGGGCATCTGAAAACAGCAAGTCACTCTAGCCCATATAAATGAACATAAAACTGTAACAATGGGAAGTAAATTGGTAATATGATGAATGACGGGGTATAATACACAAATGAATAGCTGTAGCACAAGGCTAACAAAATAAAACTTCCCATGCACAGATAAAATTGTCAGAAGTGGAATTAAGTGCCACTAACAAAAATATGGTTTAAAAACAATTAACAAATTGTAGATACGAAATAAATTACCACAGTATGGTATCCGTATATAAGATATATTATGTATAATTTCAAGGTTACTAAAGATTAAAGCCAATAAACTTATAATTTCCCTAACGCCCGCAAAATAGCTCCCTGATAGCTGCGGTAAAGAGAATACTGCCCTTTGGAATTACAATGCACGCCGTCTTTGGCTAGCAAAACACGATTTGAGTATAAAAATTCTCGATGCTCCCAAAGAAAAATATCCGGCTCCTCAGCAAGCACAACAGACAAATATTGCCGCAAACGAGCGGCTTTGGCGTTAAAACCCTGGTCTGGTGCTGGGGAACAGGAATATGGGACATTTCGATTGATGACATTGCAAACTTGTATTTGTCGCGGAAAAGGCGCGCAAGATCATCAACTTTCGAGCCTACAACCTCTGGGGCGCAACTCGATAGGTCGTTCGTACCAACTTCCAGAATTACTATGTCTGGCTTAAAGTGTTGGACGAACGGAAGGTCATGCTGCATAATTTTGTCCACTGTTCGGCCACCTGTGCCCTGTAAGTGAACGTATCCCGACTCAGGAAGATGAAAATTAGGACTCGAAAATTATGATCAAATCGCGCGTCTAAGTCCTCACATAAATGACGAACAAAAGAATGGCCGAGAACAAGGATTTTTGCAACAGATCTTTGCCCCGACATTATGAACAATATACTCTAGTACTATAACAATAATGATATTAAAAATTGAACAAATTAAACAATACCTGATTTGAGATAAACTTGATTTCCGATGGAGATGTTTTGCAGCCAACGTGCAGAGCAGAATGAACCGATCCCGCATTCTAGTTCAACTAAATACCGTGAACTCCTATCCGTTTTCCCGCACATTACAATCATGTGATTACAAAATTCCCGGGAAAATCCCAGTAGGTTTCTATCTATTTATATAGTTCAAGTGCAGGAAGCAATAAAATCTTTATTGGTATACCAGTAATTCCTTTTGAGCTGTTTTTTGCACTCAGTTCAAGTTGTGCAAAGCCTTTCTCTGTTCCCATCATGTGATTGAACTCATTTGCTCTCTTGATAAAATTGGTAAAGAAATCTTGACTTTCTCCAAACGTTTCTTCTTTTATGTCAGTTGCTGCTAAATTCAACAGATGAGTAGCATCCCAAATTGCTGCCTGGCAAAACCGCAATTCCTCGGGAATTCTATGTTGTCCCGTCTCTCCCTGTATGGTAAAACCAAACTCGTAGGCTTGATATGGACTATCAGCGGATGTACCACAGTATCTGGTAAGATCCTCTTCGTCAAGCTTCAATTTCAACTTTATCGTGTTCAGGAAGTTACTGGCAAGTTCTGGGGCATTTCCACCGCTAACATCAGGAAATTCTTCCTCCTCCTCCGATTCATTTTCATCCTCTGAGTCAGATGATTCTTCACCTTCATTATTTCTCGTATAAACAAGTGGCACACCAACAGGATAGGCACAGCGTTTTCCATTGTACATGAAGACATTATATGACGCCTGGCTAGTTCGTCGATTCACTGTACCTTTATCCAACACGCCAAAGAAATGAGGATACACTTGAGTGCACAAGAGCTCCGTCTTTAAAACATTTGTTGTTTTCTCGTCAACAATGTCCTCTGCAGCAACAAGCATAGCAAGCATTTGTTTCCGACTGTGTTGCTGCTGTCCAATGTCAACACCACAGTCATCTAAATATGTGACAAGAGTTTCATAGTGTGTTGAAGCTGCTTTAAAGGGTAATGGCAATAAAAATTTTTATTGCTTTATCTGAAAGAGCATGAAAAAATAAGCCGATTGGCCGTTTGCTGCTCTATTCTATCTCATCTGGTTCCGAAGTTATACGCAAAAATGTGCAAAATATAAATTGCTGATTCAGCACAACGTGTGACATCATTGGTAGGGTAAGTATGTTTAATGAATAGTAAACGAAGCATAGCTCAGTTATTATTGGCTCAAATCAAATGACATTTTGCGTACTGATTGTACATGATGAGACGCATGGGAAAATACTTCTAATTTTGTTGTCAAGGCAACGCAGTCGTTCCCAGGCCCCTTACACTGATTTTGAATAACTAGTTGCATTTATCTATGTGTATGTCATTTTCGAATTATTATTATGCAAGTAAACTTTTGGCATGTATAGGTATGCTACACATACTTCTGACATTATTTTATTCTTATAAGTACCATGAATAAAGCTGTTTTATAAAATTGGCGCAAGGGGCCTGGGAACGACATTGTTACCTTGGCAACAAAATTTGGAAGTGTTTTTCAATGCGCCTCATCATGTACAATCAGTATCCAAAATTTCACTTGATTTGTGCCCATAATAACTGAGCTATGCTTCAGTGTAGTATTCAATAAACATACTTACCCAGCTAATGACGTCACACGTTGTGCTGAATCAGACCAATGACGTCACACATTGTGCTGAATCAGCAATTTATATTTTGCACATTTTTGCGTATAACTTCGGAACCAGATGAGATAGAATAGAGCAGTAAACGGCCAATCGGCTTATTTTTTCATGCTCTTTCAGATAAAGCAATAAAAAAATTTATTGCCATTTATTGCCATGCACTTAACTAAGTTCTTCGTTGCTTCAAGTGCTTTCCTCTTACATTCCTGCTCTCTTTCAAGTTCTTTCATAGCTAGATAATGATGTTTTCCATGGCTGGTGTTTGAGATGCCTAACAAATGTGATCTAAAGACGGATTTCAATAATCTCCAAGAAGAATTTCCACCTTTAAGGTATTGTTGTGTCCTTTCCTTCCCATTCCATATTCCCGTCACTGGATCCCCATGGTTGAATGGATTTTTCTTTCGAGCAATTTCATATGGAGACATATTTTTTATATTTTCTTTGCCTGTAGAGGCTTTGAAACATACTTCACAGCATGTCACACTCTCAGACATAACTTCGTCATAGAAGAACTCTAAGCATGGTACTTGGGTTGCGAGTTCAGTTATACTTCTGATTTTTCGCCACTCGTCTAGATCATTGGCAATTTGCTGTTTGTCCAAAAGTTCCTTTGGCTTCTCTTCAAAAGTATCATCTACTTTCATTTCTTTCATTAGCTTAACCACTTCTGCTGCAATATCTGTTGCCGATGGCAATTCAGGAACAGTGTCCATTCTATTGCTTCGATTTGACAAGTGAACAGAACCCTCAACTTCTGTTGCATTACATTCTTTTACAGCATAAACATGTGGATTTAAAAAGTCATTGATATTACTTTGGCTTTTACTGTTGGGTTCCACTTCTGATTTCGATTCAAGCTCAGTTGTAACTGTTTCTTCTACATTGTTTATGGGATCATGACAACTATTATTATTATTATTATTTAATGTTATTTATACACGGTAACTTATCAACCAAAGAATAAAAATAAATATATATATATATATATACAATGCTTTCTACTAATGAAATTAAGATACAATATTTTCTAACGTTTTCTAAAAGGTTGCTTTTCATAAGGCCGTGTTTAACAAAGTCTAATTACTAATTACTATAACTTAATTATAACTTAATTATTATTTAATTAATTATCTAATCTAACTATATATATGAACTAACAAAAATAAATGCATATATGCGAAATTACTGATAACTTGCATAGTTTGTCAAAAATGAAGTATTTTCACAAATAAAATCATGTAAAATGCGTTTAAAAATATTATCATTGACTGTGAGATCTTTAAGCTCAGATGGGAGATTATTCCATCTCTTAGCTGCATGATAGCTAAAACTCCGTTTCATTGCATTTGTTCTTGGTTTTGGAAGCATCAGCATAATGTGATTACTATGTAAATTATATTGGTCATTTACCGCAATTTGAAACTGCTCTGTTATTGAATTAGGAACCTCGTTTTTCAGTACTTTACGCATGAATAAAAGCATTCCTTCTAATCTTAACTGATTTAAGGGACGCCAGTTTAGTTTACTAAGGACATCTGTGGAACATATTTCCCAGCTATCTCCAGTAATTACTCTTGCAGCCCTATTTTAAAGTTTTGATTGTAACATTAAGTTACAATTTTGTCATACAAGAAAACAATAATCAAAATAAGGCTGAACAAGTGCATTATAAATTTGTTTCAAAATACTCTCAGGAACAAAAGGTTTTATTAATTTTATTGCACCTATTCCACGTGAAACCTTTTTGCTGATACTGTCAATATGGTCCTCCCATCTTAACCTATCGTCAATGATTACGCCAAGACTTTTTGTTGTGTTAACTCTGTTAAGAAACTCATTACCTATTCTAATCATTGGATTTTCAGTGATCTTGCTCAGCTTAGAGTGAGAGCCAATGATCATATATTCCGTTTTAGAGACATTTAGTGTTAGTTTGTTTGCTACCAACCATTGGTGAATATTGTCAAGGTCACTGTTCAAGTGAACCTGTAATTCTTCTAAAGATTCTGCTGGTGTGGAAACATTAGTGTCGTCTGCAAACATTGAAGGTTTTGAATGCTGGAGACAATTTGGCAGGTCATTGATATAAATGAGGAATAACAGAGGGCCTAAGTTCGATCCCTGAGGAACACCACATTAATTAATTGATTGTAAACAATTTTTTCGAATATTTTTGCCACTATTGATAGTACGGAAATAGGTCTATAGTTCCTACAGTCAGTTTTGTCGCCATCTTTAAAAATAGGCGAGACAAAAGCAGTTTTTAAATCCTTTGGAAATATTCCTTGTTGCAAGGATCTGTTAAAAATTAATGTTAATGTTTGACAGATTACTTCAGCAGAATCCTTGACAAGTCTGGCGCTTATTTTATCCGGCCCGGCTGCCTTTGATGTTTTTAAAACCTTGAAGCAACTTTAGAGTGTCATTTTCAGTAATGTCGTTAAAGGTAAATGTAGTATTAGCAGAATATTGCACAAAATCAACGTAACTTATTTCACTCTCCGGTAAATCTCCTGATAGTGATGGACCCACATTAACAAAATACGAATTAAGTGTTTCTGCAATATTCTTGTCTCCTACAACAGTATCATCTCCTTGATTTAGGGAAGAAATATTTGTTGTTTTCGAACCTTTGCCTCTAATGATATTGACACTTTTCCAAAGCTGCTTTGGGTTATTAATATTACTGTTTATTATGCTTTTGAAATGTTCTGACTTAGCTTTTTGTATTATTTTATTGGTTTTGTTTCGTGCTACTTTATAAGCTTGGTAGAAATACCGAGAATTTGTCCGAGTTGCCTTTTGTTTTAAATAGTCTCGATGATTCATCTCCTTTTTAGTGCAAAGTTGCTTTGCACTATTGTTATGAGGTTAAATTCAATTCAGTGACCGATCGATGGATGGATGGATGGATCGAGTAAACAATCCGGGGGGCAGCTTGCATTTGTTTTTTATCACGTTTTCTAGAGCTTCGCGACGTTCGGCCAACTAATCGTTCATAGCTGTTTGTAGATTATTACAATCTATATTTATATTCATGATGGTCAAATGTTCATACTTCTTTATCCGACATTTAGAGAAGTTATAACAATATTACTGTTGCATTTCAAGCACTTGTTATTATATGATCTGCCCCCCTGCAACATAAATACGCGTGCATAATACACGTGCTTTCATATGTTATTATTTTACAATGGCAGACATGGACGAGGGGTGACTATTGAGCGGCGGTGTGAAATGCTGAAATCGTGTAGACTAGAGTGTATTACATCTGAGGTTGATAGTATTATAGCAAAGTGTTTTATCTATCAAAGATACGGAGCGATGTATACATGAATAAGTGCCAGTGGATAGTTTTGATATAAAATTATAAGTCAGCAGCTGATTTATATCAGCTAGCTTGTTCTTGTATTATTATTAACTAGGTTTATATGGCCCAATAAATAGTAAATAATAAAATAAAATTGAAATTTTGCTCCAGAGGCAACATGCCGAGGTCGAGCGTATTTATATTGTAGTGGCGACGCCCAGTGAACTATAAATGTCTATATTAATGATCTAGTGTTTGTGGTGAAGTATATTATTTTTAATAGCAGAAATTTCTGTACTCAGTGTATTAATCTGTAGTCAGTAATGTCAGTTCGTATTGTTTCCGAGACGTTTTATATATAATCAGTCATTCCAAGCTTTTGTCAAACTATTAATATTTTTCACTTATGCAGTTATGGCATTTCATTGATAAACTGTAAAATATTATATTTAACCAGACACAATACTAAAGTAGAATGCGGTGCCCGCCTACAAATAAAACTTTCGGCGTTTCCGCCTACATGCACAAGTAAAGTTATATTTAGCACGCTATACACATTTTCCTGTCGGCCGCCAGTTGGTCCGTATATTAGGATCAAAACTGCGTTTTAAGGCCTTCAAAATAAAATATTTTGAGCTCAAAATACTATCAAAATGAGGAGAAAAGTTAGACGAATCCACTGGCACACGGCCGAAAACGAGAAAACCAACAATTCCGAAGTTATCAAGGATCAAACGGACTGCATTTTTAATTAGTTTCATAATTTTGAGCGATTTGTCAACAATACAAATATACAATTTCGCTTATTAAAACTGCACATTAAAACCTTCAAAATATAATATTTTGGGCTCAAACTACTAACAAAATAAAGAGAAAAGTGAGACGAATCCACTGGTATACGGCCGAAAAAGAGAAAACTAACAATACGAAAGTTATCAAGGTCAAATGTACAGTATTGCATTGTTAATTAGTTTAATCATTTTGAGCGATTTGACGTTTGTGAACAATACAATTTCGTTTGTCTTTCAAAGGCCATAAATTGCTAGAATACTATTGTTTAGTAATACATTTGACATCTGTGAGTATAATTT